GGAGGATGATGATACAGGGATTGGCGGTTTGGGTGAAGTGATGAAGCCGAACGTGGTGAATACTCAGCCCAAGGGTAACTCGAAGCCCTCGACTGGGACGACGACCTCTTCGAAACAGACGACTTCTCTACTTGATGATGACGATGATGACTGGAATTGGTGATCACTTGGTTCCATTTGATCCCATTGCAATAACGCCGTTTGGATGTCGAGGTCAATGCATGCTTTTGATTCCTTTTGTATCGCATGGTTTGTTAGTGCTGTCCCGGAGACAGTATCGCCGTTCCTTGTGCTTTCCCCCTTCAATCGCATACAATCTGTTTCCTCGATTGTTTTGTTTGGAACGTACGTACGTATGGTATAGCTGAGCCCACTCTCTTTTTACAGTTCTTTGGTAGTACTTTCTTTTGTTGCTTGGATAGGGTGGAATATTAGTCGTCTTTGAGTTGTGATTCTTCGTTTCGTTTGTTGCATTCGCTTGATTGGTTCTATGATGCATACTTAGAGTTTTGCAGGTCTCCACCATTGGTCATCGCATCTCACGACTTTTGCCTAAGGCTGTTGATTCATCCTCAAGGTCCGTCCATCGCGCTCGAGAGCGGCGATTCATGAGGATAAGTACTTGGGCCTTTATCTCGTGCATATAACGACGTCGACCTACAACATCGTACCCATCCTACGTTATCTCGGGTTGTGTCATTGCGACTCAAGATTCGCGAGCTCTGCAATTATCCTCGTCGACCATTGGAGGAGACTAGTTGGTTAATTATCTTCTCTGTGATTGTCTGTGGAGGAGACTACTACTTGGTCGATGATTCTCCACAATATCGCTCTCCAACAAATTGTTCCTCGAACCTTTCTGTGTTGCTTGATCTCGTCTTCTATGAGGTTCCGTTTTCTTGCACGACTCTGTAATGGACAAGTTCTCGCAGGAACTTGCATACGCTTAAGTCGACACCGATGAGTCATTCCAGATATTCCAGGACAATGTTGTTATACGTGACGCACGTCGAGTCGGACCTGAAAGAAGACTGTATGAGTACCATTAAGCAGCTTCCAGGTGAATATAGTTGCTTCCGATTGGGCGCTAAACGCCACCGTTTACCTTTGGGCCTCAGGCCTCAGAGATCATGTGATCGCGTTCAGGCTGCAACGTTAACACCAACATTAACGTGTAGGCCTTGTGCGATGTGTGGGCCCCCGCTCCTCATTACAACCAATGGTAGCTTTGCGTATCTGGGTAGCCTGTTTCCACGTTGAAGAAAAAACAATGATGAATTCACATATGTAGTACAAGATTTGATACAACAGTGATAGATGAGTGTCACCGCGAAGCAGTATGAATAAAAAAATGTGGCATAGCAAGCCTTGTGATGTGAAATTGCCGCATACCAAGATTCGTCAAGTTATACAGACTCATAATCAGACCGAGATACTATTCTGCATCGTCCATAGACCAATCAATATCGCGAATCGTTTCCACCCAACTATTGATGGCTTCCACAGTTAACCCAGGACATTCCCTGACCACGATACCGCGAATAGGTGACCCAGCCTTGCTGCGAGCACGTAACGTGGCACGTGTACGGGTGAGGTTGGTTTCGACTCCGCCGGCACCGAAATCAATAGATCGGAACTCGAGGTTCGTTAGCTCTGGGAAGTTCGCGTTGGCTGCTATATTCCCCTCCGCCGAGCTCACCGGGGTGAGTAAATTGCACACTTCTTCTAGGGACCACGAGGTTAGGCACAAGGATTGTAGCGAGGGCGCCCTAGAGAATGTGCCAAGTAAAGTGGACAGCGGGAAGGTAGACCTCGTGGTGACCGACAAGCTCTTGACCTCGTTGAACAAGAACTCGTTTAGGATGTCTACCAAGGCACGCTGCAGAAGAATATCGCAGTCTTCACCGACGACGCTCGCAGCAGTATCGGTGATGATGACTTCGAACGTGGGATCGGTAGCCTTCCTCGCGTCTTCATCGGTGATCAGCGAAGACCAGGTGCGTATTCTGTAGGACGCCTGTTTGTCCAGGACGATGCGCATTGTGAGTGGAGATAGAAAAGACTGGTTCTGGAGCCCCTTGAGGCTCGCCACGGCGCCAGCCTTATCGAGATCATTGAAGAAACAGCGCGTTGACCAATGCAAGGAGAGTTTGTTCACATTGGGAAGACACAGCTGGCTCTGCAATGTAGAACAGAACAGCACGGTTCCCCAGAGACGCAAAGTGGTCAGGTGAGGTAACGTGATGATGGACCCGTACATCCCTGCGTTGAAGTCTATGATATCCGCTATCTGTTGGTGGTTGTCGTAGACGTCCAAGGAGACAAGGTGGGGCGATTGGCGCAAGATTTCCAAGATCTTCGTGATTGCGCCCCGCAGAGATGTGGATCGGAGCGCTGTGAGGGATAGGTGTTGGAGGCTTGAGTAGCCGTGAGAGCGGATGGCAGTCAAGACTGGCTCATTCCATTTATAGGATAGGTCGACGGGGCAGCGAACGTGCAGGGACCGGATGCGATGTGCCTCCTTCAGTAGCATATACGTGCATTGGAGGGTCTCCGAACACAGCCCGCCATACAAGAAGTCATCGTTTATGACAACATCTATCTCGCACTGCTTTGATAAGTTAAGTTGCTCAGCGAGCAATGCTCCGACTTCTTGGCTGGAGAGGGAGGGGGCAATGCAAATGTAGGACCACAATCGAGGAGTGCGCCGCGCTAACTCTCTCCAGTAGCGACAGACACAGGTGATAACCATCCAACTGTGCAATTTGCACCATTGCGCGCGCGCGATTCGCCCAGAAGGAGGAGTGGATATGCTTGGCCACACTGACCATGCGCACCGAGTGAATACGTCTGACCACAACTCGTCAGGAAGTCGATAGCCCTTGTTCGCAGGAGGGTTAGATAATACCCGCGACTGCCCCCCAGCGTTCCTAAGGATCGACACATGATCAGAGAAGTACACGCTTTCTGTTAGGTTTGTATATCACGTACGGTATGGCGACAGAGAGTTGGGTCTCACAAATGGGAGCGGACATGAGCTAGTACGAGCGAGTAAGTAGGCAAAAGCTTCGACTGAACGAACGTCTTGAGGTAGGTTAATAGCTCGGTAGGTTACTAGCTCATAAGCTATGGTGACAAGCTGGTGATTGACATTTTATTCAGCTTAAGCTCAGGGGCATCCGTAAGCTTTGCATGACTATTGAAACGCTATGAGACGCTATGATATTTAAATTGACGGCGTACAAAAGTAATTCGGGTTCACTGTATTCAAATTTATCGCGAGCCTGGTGCTGAAACATCAGGGAACGAGAGGGTGGATAGGCAATGTTTCAACTCGGGCGGGAGATTGATACGTAAGCTCTTGACAGAAGTGGCCTCACATCGCTGGATATTCACTAAGCATTGCATGTAGTTAGCATATATATCCAAGTATGAGTTCGAACAAACATACCAGCAACGACCCCACTCTCGTCGCCGCAGCCTGTGGAGATATTCTTCGACGGGAGTGAACCAGGTAAGTCATATACCCAATTCCAAAGAGTGTACAGCTCTTTGAGATGTCCACAAATAGTGATGGAAGTGAGAGTGCTCTTCTCCGATCCACTGGGGAGGATCCAAGAGCGGAAGAGACTGTGGGTTCCGAAAGGCTCCCAGAGAATGTCTTCCATATGCAAGGAAAGCAATGGAAGGGGCGACGGCTGAGATGTCATCTGAAAGGGAAGAACTTCGTCTTCGTGATGAGACACTACTGCACTCGCAAGGTGCAAGTGTCGAAGATTTTTCAACGAAGGTAGGAAGTTCATAAGCTGTGACAACGAGACAGTGCTCCCGTTCGTAAAGCGCAGGGTTGTAATTCGGCTGAAAACGCCCTCGGCCATCTCCACGCAAAGTTCAGGTTGTGCGCACAACGTCACGTACATGGATATGGTGGAGAACTCGATGGATTCGAGGCGCGGCGTCCATTTGGATAGATCGTTTGGTGCGGAGAGTCGCCAAGGTGAATAGAAGTCGACATATGGATCACGATGGATACGCAATCCGCGGACCCAATTTCGGATTGTCGGCGTGGTCTCGAGGAGCTGCGTTAGCTCTGCAAGCCGATCCTCTGTGTCGATGGTGACGGTGTGGTAGATGAATGGCCGGTACGCCATTCTCCAGGTTGAGCATACGAGGTTACATGCCTGTATGGTAGCAAAGCAGCCCCTGTGGAATTCTGCTATGCATGCTATGATATCGAAGGGCAGCTCCGGCGATGAGCTCAGAGGCAAACAGGGGCGTGCGAGCATGTTCTGTCAATGTAGGTACGTTGGGGTAAGACGGGCGAAGTCAGGAGGATGTGACACTACCAAGTCGGACAGCAGGATGCTTTAATACGAAGGGAGTGGGAGTGAAGGCGCAACAGTTGGTTGTCAGGTGTCCTCATCGTGGCGGAGGTGCGTGTAGGTTCGCTTCCATTGATTGAACTGAGACTTGTTGGGACACCGCCAGCATGCAGCAGGGATAGCTGCGGTGGATCATCCAGGGATCATTAGGAGATGCTAATTAGGGACATCTGCCATGTCACACAGGGTTCTGTTGAGTGGGGGCTGGTCAGGAGCTTGCATAGGGGTCAAATTCTGTGCTAAAGGTCCAATGGCAAGCTTGGGCATGACCTGGGATCCGCTTCGCTGGCTGGAAGGTTACGTTCAGCCCTTATCACAGACTAAATCCATTTGATGTCCATTCGAAAATGCATCGCCGCATTACGCACGCAACCCCCATCTCCGCGAGAAACAGCATGTCCAAGTCAGGAACACACCTAGGACAAGCCAGCTCGCATGCACAGGAGGATATCTGAGCCTTTGAACTTGGTACGAATTGTGCTATGGGGGAGACAGGTACTACGACGTACGTTCAAGTTGAATATATATTTACCGTGACAGTGACAGGTCAACAAGGGTCGTTGGAAACATCACCCTTCATTGTACCATCATCATACTCGTAAAGGCATAGCCTCCCAGGGCGAGATGGCCGAGCGGTCTAAGGCGCCAGACTAAGGTGCACGTTGCTTTAATCTGGTCCGAAAGGGCGTGGGTTCGAATCCCACTCTCGTCACAGCGGAATGGCTCCATATTTTGCCTTCTTTTTTGCCAAATGTCCCTCAGTGTCATGTCAAATTTGAAACCCCCATGAAAACCTCTTACAACTCTTGTACAATATGAACGCTCGCAAGTGAGGTTTATCCTGTATCAATCCCATGTCTACACAAGAAATGTATGCACACACGTCAGCACTCGGGCTGCTGCTCCTAGTACTCTGGTTTCACAACCACCTTCACCGCTGTCCGGCTCTTAAGCTTCTCCATGGCCTCCTTGTATTGTTCCAGAGTAAATACATCGGTCACCTAAAATCACCGCCAAGCAATTATCGCCCGACTCCAGAGAGTAGCTGTAGATATGTTGGGTATGCACTTACAATTCCTTTCACATTGACCTTGCCACTATCGAGATATGCGACTGCTCGAGGGAAGCAATGTGCTTGTGCGAAGGAACCAATGATCTATGCCGCAGGAAAATTTTCAGCATTCGAATGCGCGTAGAGCTATAGCGAGAAGGCGGCTTACTCGGATTTCATCCAAGAAGATCTTCGAGGGCGACCAATGTACTAGCGCGGCGTTATCGTATACGCCGTAAATCATGAGGGTACCTCCTCTCCGAACGTAGTTGATCGCATCAGAGGCAACTTGCTCCGAACCTGTCGCTTCCACCTATGTCATATCGTCAATATCACAGCACCATGAAGTCCAGCTAAGAACTGAAACACGTACGACAACGTCAAACCCATAAGGATGATCCTTCTTCAGCTGCTCCCATTGCGGAGTCGGATTGGCCCTGTCCAATTCAATATACTTGTCCCCTGCCCCCAACAATCTGGCAATGTCCGTCTTGATACCCTTGTTAGCGACGACAGTCACTGACGCTGCTCCGTTCAATTTGAGGAGCTGCGCTAGAATGAGCCCTGTTGGTCCCGCGCCGATGATGAGGGCTTCGACTCCGACGGATGCGTCTAGCTGGTCCATCCCGTGGACGGCGCATGCCGCCGGTTCGATTAGGGTCGCCTCTTCGTTTGTGAGGTTATTGATTTTGTAGACTTTCTTCGCTTGCCTGAAAGGAAGAATTGTTTCGTTTGTTGAGACATGGAACGACGGTTAGTGTGCGAGAAACATGAGGGAAGAATGGCTGTTCTTACACTGTTACGTATTCCGCAAACCCTCCTGCGCATGTTACACCCAATCCTTCAAAGTTCTCGCAAAGGAGTTGCTTCCCCCGACGACAATAGAAGCACTTTCCGCACTATGGGTCTTGAATTATCAGCTCGCGACTTAGAATCTCAATATGAGTGGACATTCTTACAGTCATACCAGGGTCGACGACACACCGATCGCCCTTCTCGAAACCCTGCACATTCCTGCCAACTTCAGTGATTACACCAACGATCTCGTGGCCGGGAATCAACTGTCATCGAAGTCTGTTTCAGCGGTCGTAGAATATATTTGATTTTGGGCGAGCGATATGCTGAAACTGTTACATACCGGGAATTTGGCGATGAACTCTCCTTCATGAACATGCGTGTCTGTTCCGCACAAACCTAGCAAGTGATATCAGACCATATATACGTAGGTAGCTGGCACCGATCTTACTCACCGCACGCAACGACTTCACAGATCACCGGATGTGAATCGAATTGGAGCTTGAGGGATTTCTAAGTAGAGACCGACCTTTGAACAATACCTCGTCATCTCCAACCTGGGGTACCGGCACGTCTCGAATTTCGAAATCTCGGGGCTAGGAGCAACGTATAATGTATTATCAGATTGTATTACAAGAAGCTGAAAGTCAAGACGTACCGCGTTGTAGTAGACAGCTTTCATGTTCGGCAGGGTGGGTGGGGGCTCGGGAGTAGGACTGAAGAGTGCGACAGGCTGAGTGGGAAGTGGAACGTTGGGTCAATTCTAGGTGTATGAGATGGTAAGTATGGGGATGGTCCGAGGGGAGATGAAGTGCAGTGGTACCCCGGACCCGAACCCCGCAGATACGGGGGAGATAACGATGAAACGATCCTATCTTCATCTGCGAGATCGGGGGGTGTTACGAAAAGAAAACGTGGAAGGAGAGATCGGGGGAAGCATGCAGATGAGCGCTTGATACTTGAGTCAATTAAAGAGATTTAGGACGATACGGTTTCCGAAGTCGCGTACATGGTCGAACTCCGTAGGTTTGTTGCATGCAGGCTTGAGCTGTAGGGGGGCGCGTTGCGAGATGTAACGAAGCATTTGAGGGACATAGCGTTGGTTCCAGTTCAACATAGCTGGAAGACATTAGGATGCACTCGAAATGGCAACATACTTACCTGCGGTCGGTCAAAGAATATACTCGCAAAGCAAAGTCGTACCTATCGCGTGTTATATACATATCGCATAAATACACGATGTTAGATACAGGATTCTGGTTTACACCTGCATGAGGGCCCAACATCAACATACATGTAATCAAGAATGGATGCGTACTCACCAAGAAAACAGTCCAATATCTCCCCCTTCCCGAATACACATCCACAACACAGGTTGCATCACCCAAATGGGGTATATCAATAACACAACAACATACAGTGAACAGCGATATAAATCCGAACCCAGTGTCAATTCCAAACTCTCTTAGGATCCACCAACCCATGGCTGATCTTCTCCACAATCTCTCCAACAGCTTTCTCGGGTACAGTTGGATCGAAGGCTAATCCGGGATTAGGACTCGTCGTCCCCGAAAGGGTCGTCTCTGTGTTTGTCGTACTCGAACTTGGGCTGGTGGGGTTATCATGCCCAGCGATTGCCCTATCCACACCGTCCCCATCCCCATTCTTCTGCCACTGGTAGACGGTATTGCATACGCCCTCTAGAGTGGTACGAGCCTCCGCGTAGCCTAGCCCACCCTTGGCTGGGGGCAATCGAGCGCGGGAGTCGTCGAAGATGAGGTGTATACAGGTCAGGGCGAACATGGATGGTTGGAGGAAGACAATATTCCCCGAGAGAGCTGGGAGTAGGTGCATGACTAGCCAAGTGCGGAGTCTAGATGGTCTTCGGGATGGTGCTGATGAGGGGGTATCGGAAGATGAAGTCGTAGAGGAAGGATGAAGGAGGAAATGTCGAAGGAGATAGTACCATTCGACTAAATGTGCGATGAAGAGCATGAATGTGAGGGAGAGGTGTATGCAGATCACTTGTCCATTGCTGAGCGTCCCGACAGCACCATACACATCGCCATACGTTGGTGTTGGGCCTGAATCTGTTACGCAGAACGCCTGTCCACCAATATCAGGATTCTTCTCCCCGGACGCGTCACGTTGTTGTCGTTCGATCTCAATGAGCCGTTGCTCATAGCACAGATGTGCGAGGGAACAATTCTCGACGTATACAAAGGATTGTACGAACGTCGATACCCATGTTGGGTTCACCTTCTCCCTGAGCAACCTGTCAACGAGAATGTCACCTCCAGGGCCATATATCCCGTTCCCAGGTCTAATACACCCCGTCCTCAACACCGTCCTCCCTCCTGCAGAAGACGAACGATCAGCATCCCTCACGAACCTCTCTGCTTTACACTTCGACACAGCATAGTTCGAGAAGAAGTGCTCGTGTCTCTTGGGCAATTGCGCGTCGTCGTCGGTAATCACCTGCGTGAAGAACTGGGGTTCCCTCTCCCAGGGCCACAGCCAAAATCTGTTCCGTCGTACGACGATCGAACCAGATGATGTGAACACGAGGGCAGACGCCCCGGCTTGTTGCGCAGCCAAGACGATATTCTTTGTTCCTTCGTAGTTTATGCGATCTGAGAGGTATTGAAGAGCGGGATGTCGTTCAAAGAACCTGATGGTGGCTGCAGTATGAAATACTGTGAGCTCCGGGAGGATGGTATCTATAGAGGACGTGGGCCATGGTTTCTGGAACGCCGCAATAACCGCGTCGCGATCTGTCATGTCGACTTGTATGAAATCGACTTTGCCTAACGCGGCTTCCTTGAGGTCTTTCCTCTCGGGGGGACGAATGTCAAGCACACGAATACGTTTGGGGTCTTCCCCCCGCTGAATTAAATGAAGGACAATCCATCCGCCCAAAAACCCTGCCTGTTGTCGTTCCGATCAATATCGCGGGTGGCCACAAACACGACGGAGGAGACTCACTCCACCAATAACGATATACCTCCTTCCAGTCTTGGGAGGCAACTTTCCCTGCAACATCGACCCTGAGCTTGACACGGCCTCCCCCTCATCAGCCAGCGATTGCTTCTTCACGCGCTCATACGTCTCCCTGACTTCCTGCTTCGACCATCTGACATTGACCAGATCTGGCGGTGGCCTCTTCAGTTTTGCGTCGTTCACGAAGACGTAAAGCGTGAAGAGAAGCGTTACGAGGAAGAGAAGCGTCCATAGTGAGTAGGGTATTGGTGGAACCGCCATGCTGAACGAGTTCATCATCAAGCTGGGGTGAGTTGGATATTTGGGTTAGAGGAGAGGGTAAGACGGCAGGAAAGCTTTGTGATTTCTCCGTACGTGGCAGAAGCTAGTACGGGATTAGGCTGCGCCGCACAATGCTGTCATAGTATTACTCTCAACAATAGAGGTCACAGGCACAAGACACCACAAAAAGTGTCTAGCAGTTTGAAGGAAGGAAATCACAGCAAGGAGCCCAAGTCCGAATAAAAAAAATAAGCAGGCTTGGTGGAAGGAGCGCAAAGGTCGACCGTTGTGGGTCGGACTGACACTGCAGTCGCAGCGCGTCGCAAAAGAGCACGTGTTCGACGTTCAGCGCTCACTGGCAGATCTCAGATCTGAGGCCTAAGGGCGGCAACTTACCCTCTTCTCACTGGCACAATCTCGTTTTGTACTCTACTTAGAGCCTACTGGTACTCCTGAGTCCAATCACCATGCCAGCATGGCCTCGTAGACGGTTGACGATGTGCTATTGCAGATTACGTGGCAGTGTCGTACGTTGAGCTCCCCGATGTACAACGTTTTCGGAGCCTGGGATCGTCATACTTCGATTCTCATAACTTTGCTATGAA